CCACTTTGGAAACGTAAAATTGTTTCATATAGTAAAGATGATATTGTTTTGCCTCTATTTATTTATTATGATGATTTTGAACCTAATAATCCTTTGGGTCCTCATTGTGATAAATTAGGTGCTGGAAAAATCGTTCCCAAATCGTTGACCAAAGAATCCACTTGTAATCGTTGGTCCGTTAGTTACCGGACACCCTGTATATAATCAAACCGCTCTTTATAGAGCGGTCAAAGAGCATCTTACCGATCCGAAGAAGGTAGAGGCCTTGGCCACGACACATCTGCTGTTGGAGAACGGCGCGGATCCCAAGGTCAAAGAGCACCGGAGCGGCGACACCGTTTTACACATTGCGGTCTCGTTGCACTGCGATCCCGCGCTCGTCAAGATATTACTGAATGCAGATCCCAAGACTGTAAACGAGAGAAATTACATGAGTAACACGCCGTTGCATCTGGCCGCGAGAGTTTCAACTACCGTCGATTTGGAGAAGCAGAAGGAGGTTTGTCGGCTTCTGATAGAAGCCGGTGGCTTAATAAACATACACAATAATCAAGGGCAGACGTCTCTGTCTCTCGTGTCGTTGGAAAGGAAGTTTTACATTTAAAGTAAAACTTAGTGTTTTACATTTAATATAATAATAATATTGTTTAGAATTATTTAATTTATTTTTCATTATTTTTGTTTTTTTTCTGACACAGTTGACATGTAACACTATTTTTGAAGTCGAAGGACATTATATTTACGTTCATATGGTCGTCCTTAAATTTCAAAATGCATAAATTTTGTATAAAAATTCTGATATTACGTAAAATAAAAAATTATTAACATTCACGCACTTTAATTCTTGCTTACTTATTTGAAATTTTGTCGATCCATGCATGTTTCATCAGCAAATCAAAACGTAATATAAATTTTTCATTTTCACTCGTTTTACTGTATAGACATTTTTCTAAGAATGTAAACTGATATTTAATTTAAAATGTGTGAGAAAATATTACTTCTAGATATGTTTTCGTGAAAAAACATATGAAACAAAACTTAATGTGTCTTCAATTTTTATTTCTTTTTATTACCAATTAAAATTTAAAAAAATTTAAAGATGTTACAATTTACATCTAAATGTTTTCATGTTATGTAGAATATACGAAAAAAAGAGTAACCGAAATAAAAAAAGGTAAACATTTAATATTTATGTAAATATATATATATATATATATATTGATTATATTTCTTCAAAATTAATTTATATATGTAATAGGTATAAAGTCTTTCATGATATATATATATATATATATATATATATACCTATATTAATTTTCTTAATTTTGGGCATAAAATCACTTCCCGAGCGATTAGAACACTTTATAAACTAAGTATATATATATAAAATTATGTAAATTATGTTACAAAACTTATAAAAGAAATCTCTTCTTTCAATTTTGAATTGGAATGTAAAGAGATTAAATATTTAATTTCATAAAACTGTAATTATATCAAAATTAACGCAATGCCAATTATTTCATTTAATGTTTACATAAATATTAAATGTTTTCCTTTTTATATATATATACACATATTAATTTTTTCTTATTTTGAGTATAAAATCACTTCCCGAGCGATTAGAAAATTAAATTTATCTGAGAAATATATATCATAATACTTGAATATTGAATAAAATATCTTTTAGAAACCGAGAACTCTGATAAAGTGAAATCTTTACTTATTTTTATATTATATTTTATAGAAATATCTGAATTCTTGTATTTGACTTACATTGTTTTATCAGTTTGCAGGATCACCAGCCGAATCACCTTAGCCGAGAGTGTATTGCTTTGTGATGTTACCTCTTCAAAGGACAGACGAAAACTGACGATGTCAACAAGCGACATTCTTCATGACCATTTGCGGGATGATATATGAAATACATAAGATTCATGTAAATAGATTCTTAAGGTTATTCCCAAGGTACATAACAATCAGTGCCGGATTAAGCAAATTTTAATGGGGGCCTATGTAAGACGAGGATTTTTTGAAAATTAATTAAACCTATATGATATACCTAACCATCATCCAATAACTTGCGACAAGGAAAGAAATGATTTAATATAAAAATTAGACACGAATAAAAGATATATTTCGGTTTGTATATACTACAATTTCTTGATTATATTTCTTCAAAATTAATTTATATGTAATAGATATGAAGTCTTTTACGAAAACTTTTTAATTATATATTGACTTTTATCAATATAGTAACGGTCGAATGAGACGATTGTTATCAGGGCCGGATTAACCAATAGCAAACTAGGCACTGCCTATGGGTCCCTACCACAAAAAGGCCCTCACTAATCATTGAAGAAAAATTTTATTTATAACAAAAAATTATTTTTAAACCACAATCTACACTTCATTCCTCTCGACTAATTTTTCACTTTTTTATGAAAAAATTATTTTGTATTATATTAATTATAGTTCTTTTTTAGTATAATCAAAAAATTGTATGGATGATGATTAGGTATATCTTATCACTTTTTTTTCTATTTTTTTACTGGATTTTTATTTGAGTGAGCGGAATTTAAAATTCTCTTCCGATGATATATGTCAATTCAATAAAGTAAGGAAAAATTGATATTGCTTTTATATAAAAATCAAAATTTAAATCATATTATACCATAGTATATCATTGTATACCAAGGATTCCTAATCAACAAAAAATTAATTTTCGTTGACGCAAAACACATCGCAGTATGACTCTGTAACCGATATATATATATATATATATATATAAACCGATATATATATATATATACAAATATATATGTAAAATTTAAATCCCTCGAGCTTTTTATATGAGAAACAATTTAATTTTCTTTACTTTCTTCTCAGTACAAAAGTTTTATGAGAATTAAGAACACTATTTAAACATCGCATTATGTTTTGAAACAATTTTCTTTTTAATTTTTCTTTTAAATCTTTAATATAAAATATTTTTTCAAATTCTATTAAAAGTTACATTTAATTTTTTTTTTAATTATTTTCTCTATTAATTTACACAGTATAGCTAATTCTTAATGCCTTAAAAATTTAAATTTTGAAATTTAATTAAATTTTGTAGTTAAATTATAGACATAAATAAAATATTAAATTTTATTAATTAGACAAATTAAATATAAAATTAGACACAAATAAAGTATTAACACACAAATAAAAGCTTTCTCATCTAAGGTAGAAAAATGTAAAACCTATTTGTAACAAATATCGACATTGAGGTAAAGAAATTTTGTGATATTTCTCAACAATCCATAAAATATAAATAAGAAACAAAATTAATTTAGGTTAACTAGAAACTACAGTAGACTAAAGAACAAATTCAATGAAAAAAATTGATAATGTTTTAGTTATGTAACTCAAAAGTGCATATGAATAAGCATTTTTCTCATTTTAATAGCTCGATTAATAGGATTAGCTAATTCAGTATATCCCTTAGTATCATCAATTTTCCATTGCTTAGTACCTTTTGGATATGTGCAAAGTAAAAAATTCAATGTATGCAATACAAAAAGCCAATCCGCCGTCATCGGCTGTTCTTTAGGCGGATATGTCATGGGATGTACGAAAGTGTTATTTATTTTATAGAAATAGTGGATATTTGATATTATATCGTCCATCATCTGTGTGAATAAATCAAAATATCTATAAACATTTTTAAAAATTAAACAAAGAAATCAGTTTTACTCATACAACGATAACTTTAAAAAAGAATTTTTTAATATTGACCAACGATAACTTTCTCAAATATCTCAAACTTCTAGTGATATTAAATAAACACAATACGTTACCCCAATTATCTTTGCAATAATTGCAAATAACAAATAATACTAAAACATTTGCAAAATGTTATACATATATCTATGCGGAATATATCACGCAAATTATTGTATATGTAAACGTGAAAATTGCATTACAGAAAATTAGTTAAAGGGAAAGAGAGAGAGAATAATGTTGTTTTTTAAATAACATATTTATCAAAAAATTAATTTGGTAGCATGGAAATTCTTTAAAGTTTTTAACATTGTCTTTATCATATTAAATCCGAATAATATTTACATAATAAAATAATAAAAAATTATACAAAATTATATAAAATTGTTATCTAGAACTTAATTAATTCGAATAAAAAACATATTAAAAATGCAAACTTTTAGAAACTTTGACGTATTAAATATATATAAAATCCATTTATATAATTTTATTTTTTTAACTACATTTTATAAACATACATACGTGTACTGACAATAAAAGAAAGTTTAAATAAATATACATTCTATACTTGTAAAAAAGAAGCAAAAATGTAGAAATTACTGCTGTAAAAATATACAACAAAAGAAATATGCATTTTTTCTTATTCTATATATAAATGTAAAATAATTTCTCTCTTTCTAAATTGACTACATTGGTAATTTTTATTTTATTCCATTTTGTTTCTAAAAATCTATTTAAAATGATACAGATTTAACTTATCCGTGAAACAAAATTGAATCGCTATCAATGTGTGTATATATATATATATATATATTATATGTACATAAAAACAACAATGCAAATTCAAATTTTGCAAATGTTTTGTTATTTAAACAATAAGAAAAAATACGTCTACAATAATTTAATAAATATTATATTAAAACAATGATATCCCTTTCTTTTTCATTTAAATTTCAAAATTTAAACTATCGAAAGAAAAATAATATAAAAAAATCTCGCCAGCAAATTAAAAATCAAACAACTCTTATAATAATTAAAAATAATCAACTATACAGAAACAAAAAATTGACAGAAAAGCAAAAATATTACATGTTTTACATTCATTTTACAAATATTATAATAAAAGCAGAACAAATTAATTGCAGAACCACAGCTTATGTGCTTCATATACTAAATTTTTAATATACAAATAATAAATTTACGAAAAAATAGATTTCTTGAACTTCTTTTATTATGTTTGCATATATATCAGCATAATACACAATGTCATTTCTCGAATACATATAGATATTTCCAAATAAAACTACATATATTACAATGATAAAAGAAACATTTTTGGATTATATATCTATCTCACTTGATAAAATGAGAATCGAATGCGTCATCATTATTACTGACAGAAAATTTTACAATAATTTTATTATATTACTGAGATTATGATGTGTGCATCAGCATATCATTATTACAAAAGTGGTTATATTTTCAGTTATTCGCAAACTGACAATAATATAAAAAAATATAATAATAAGTGTTTAGTAGTGCACAGTTCTAATATAGTGTAGCGGGTACTTTTTTAAAGAATTATTATCATAATTATAAGTAAATATAAATTTCAAAAGGAAATTATCTACCACTAGCTGTGTGACGGGCGTTACCGAATCTGACAAACGTTTTTCTAGTACAAGGCGCTCGATTAATTTCTTCACTTCTTTGTATATTTTATTGGCGGCGAAGAGTGAGCAACCGCGTATCTCTATTTCTTCCCTGCTTCCGTGCTCAAGCGGTACATCTGCAAAAAAAATACAGCCCATTTTTATATGATTCACTGAACTCGCATTCGGAACACTTTAATATCCCTAACGTAATTATAGTTCGAACAAAAAATATTATCGAAATGCAAACTTTTATGCAATGAATAAAATATCTGTTGACTAGTTGACAATAAGCACGCATTGGAACTATGACTCTGCACTTTTTATGTACCATATGTATAAGATATCTTATTATTCGATTGCTTCTTCTGTATTTAAATTTTATTTTTAACTTATTTTTGATTATATTACCGTTTCAGTCTCTTACTTTTCGTATATTTAATAAATATTTTTCCTACAAGCTAGTTACGTACGCGAATTCTGTTATAATATGCGTCTTTTATTCATTGTATTAATATTAATTTCACACTGAAGACGGTCTAAATAAGACCGAAACGTTTGTGTTAATGAATACTTGTATTATAATAAATAATAATCTTTTGGCCATAATAACGGCTTCGGCTTTCAGCCCTTATTCTATTCTGTGATTTTTTAATCTTGCAAACCTTTTAATTTAATTATTTTATTAAAATATCATAATTAGTGATAAATTTGACAGAATAAAGCTTAATAGACATAAAAATTTGAAAAAATTTTTCTTAAAGATTAGTTTCTTCTAAATTTAAAAATTAGTTTCTTATTATTTGCAAGTTAATCCAATAAGAAATTTTTATAAAAAAAATCATAAAATATAAATATTTCTTATAAAAAAAAAAATCGTTTTAAATAGAAACTATTTTGTCGATTTTTAGATATAGCAATTCTTTAATGTTGAATAGATATCTATGTAATATAGATAATTGTTTTACATGTAAGTTATTTAAAGTATTTTAAAACATATAGTAAAAAGAATATATTTTGATGTAGTATTTTGTGCTTTATAATGAAGAAGCTATTTAATCAAATTACTGAAAAATATTATTTTGTCAAATTACAAATATAAGTGTGTCGCGTTACAGAAATCATAAAAAATTAAAGATTTGCCACTCGTAAAAAAAAAAAATTAATGTAAAAAAACTTACTGCTATTTTTCAATCTTTTCTTGAAGCCGCCACTGTATTGTAGAATTTTTAATTTAAATAATAATTGAGGAATACAATAATCAGTGAATATTGTAGACATCATCTTTGATTTATTTAATTTAAACTTATTAGGTGATTCCTTAAAGTAATCCCAAATGTCAATCACCAGAGATCGAGCCTTTACAAGAAAACACACTGAAAAATAATTTAATAAACGTAACATTATTAAACTAACGTATATTTATATAAAAATACGCTGAATTACTTGATTGAGTTAATTATTAAAATTATAATTATATAACATAATATAATTAACAAATATGTTCGTCCAACCTAAAATTATATTATAATATTATATAAATTTTATTTGTATAATTAAGTGTGTCATAAGAGATATAAAAATATTCACTGATGTTTATTTAATATACAATAACGTATTAGTCAAATATGATTACATAATGATTGCATTCATTTATTTATAAGTATTGAAATTAAATCTCAAATATGAGATTATTTCATATTTTAAAATCTTGGCCGTGTCCAAGTAAAATTTGGTGCCTTGTGCACCGGTATTTAATTCTAACGGAAAATTATTTAGTTTCGTTAGGATAACGCATTGTCATCCGCGATATACGTTAAATTTATATTTATATTATAAAACTCTTATATTGATACACGCTGGCTTAAAAATGCGTTTGTTTACCAACATTAATATATATAACAGAAAAGTATAGAATCGAAAGGATCTGAATAGCTCAGCTGGAAGAGCAGTCGCCCGGCAAGCGAAAGGTCTCGGGTTCGTTTCCCGATTCAGCGATTTTCGGATCTATATTTTTCTCTTGCATTCATTTATTTATTTTCCGTGGGGGGGTTAAAGGGGGTATTGAAATTAAATCTCAAATATGAGATTATTTCATATTTTAAAATCTTGGCCGTGTCCAAGTAAATGCACCGGTATTTAATTCTAACGGTATTTAGTTTCGTTAGGATAACGCATTGCCATCCGCGATTTGGCTCTTGTTGCCCGTCTTATACGTTAAATTTATATTTATGATTACATAAGTTTACTATGATTATTATAGTAAGAAACAGAGTTTTCTCGAAATGTGTTATAACACTAAATTATAAATAAAGTTTATACATTTAATCAAAAATCTAATTTTATTAAAACTAATTTTATATTAAATTTAACTTTAATAATTTTACTTATTACTCTGTAATATCGTCATGCAATATAATTCGCGAATTCTACTGTAATATTATTATCAATGGTTACCTTTTTTTCCATCGTATTTTACTTCGTCCCGATATGACTCGAATTCATCGAAAAGTAATTTCATCAATTTGTCTGCATCGTATTCGGATGATTTGAGACATTCCATAAAAGTTCCTATAACAATATTAGTAATATATTATTTTAGTAAAATATATGTATGTGCTCATATTATATAAATGTAAAAATTGAATTGTTATAACATCTGCATTCAATTACATTTTCTGCAGTGAATTATATTTTTTAAGTAACAAAAAATTGGTCCTGAATGAGTTTTTGTAAAATCGAAAGTATGTGAATGTTATAAATTTTTTTTGACGCGTCATATCGGAATTTATACCTTTATACTTCTGCAACAAAACTTCTCCAACTTCATGTAAAATCCTAAGTCTTTCATCTATAAGTGGAATTTCAGGTTCACCATCGTCACTTTGTAAAATACATTCTAACTCACTTTTTGTCATTTTTGTGTAATATTCAGGATTCCATATAGGTTTTCCATCCTTTTGCAAACATTTCAAGAAAAACTTAAACATCATTGAAACTTATAAGTAATGCATAATGCATAGAGCACAAATAAAGCGTACTGAACAAATTAAATAGAATCTCATTTAAACATTTTTATTTTAATAAGCACTGTCTATATACCCTTTGACTTTTTGTTATTTTTGTATAATATTCAGGATTCCATATAGAAATTTGAGCCTTTACAAACATTATATATTATCAGTCAAGGAATAAGTAAAGTTTCCAATATAATACATAAATTAAAATTTTAACGAGCTAGAAACAGCCGAATGCAGAAAATAGTGCGTCAGTTATAAAAAAATTATTCTTTATTCAAACTTATAAGTTGTGCATAGAGCACAAATGAAGCGGAATCAACTAATTGAATAAAATCTCAATGGAGGATTTTTATAAATTTTGATATAAGTGTTTTTCAAAATCTTTTAGAAAATGTATTATATATTATTTTGCAAGATTAAAATAAAAATATATCTATTAAAAAAGCTTTAAAAATATTTTGCAAGTAATATAAAACATTAAGATTATGTAGTTATGGAAATAAGGATTTATACTTCTAGAGAAAATCATCTTATCTTTGGCTGCACATATATTAAAGAGATTATAATTTAATTAGTAATATGTGTTATTAACAATTCCTGTACGATAATCAATGACTTTACAAAAAATTTAAAAAAAGTAATGCAAAATTATAGTCGTAACTAAGAGACAATTATAAAGAAAAAAATTGTTCAATAATAAATAAAGATACAATTCTCTGTTTGTATATGTTCGAAACGTTACATGATATTTATAAATATTATTCACTAATAATGATATAAAACAAAGTATACTTTCTCATTTATTAAAAAATAATTGTCTTATAAGCTATATTGCGATATAATTAATTGTCTTTTTTCTATTGTCTTTTTTTAAAAATTCTTAATAAGAATAGCACATATGTTTTACAATTACGATTTTCTAAAATCATGTACTGTTATAATATTGTACTATTATATATAATTATTGTAATGTTAAACTCTTGTATATTAAACTGTTGTAACATTATTTATTTACTCAGAAATAAATATTTTTATCGGCTCTCAATATAAAGAATATAAGTATGCTGCCTTCTAAGCCGGGCAATAGAGCCAAGGAAACGAAACGAAAAATTAATTAAACGGAACTGTATCTCAATTTGAGATCCCAAAGTTCCACATATAAATTAATTTCGAAACTTACATATGGAGAAATAAGCGAGAAAAATTCCCGCTTCAGCGACTTTTCGGACCTATATTTTTCTCGCTTATTTCTCCATATGTAAGTTTCGAAATTAATTTATATGTGGAACTTTGGGATCTCAAATTGAGATACAGTTCCGTTTAATTAATTTTTCGTTTCGTTTCCTTGGCTCTATTGCCCGGCTTAGAAGGCAGCATACTTATATTCATTATTTATTTATTATATAGCAATTTTATTATAGCAATTTTCTTAAATATTTAATTATATATATTGCACAAATTAATAAATATCATCCACAATTCAATAATATAAAACAAAGGACCAAATATTGTTAGCACAATAAAATTTTAGCACAAAAAATGATTTAACACAAATAGAAGCGTTTCCATCTAAAGCAGAATGTAACACGTATTTCTAACAAATATCGACATTAAAGTAAAAAAATTTATGATATTCCTAAACAATCGATAAAATGTAAATAAAAAATAAATATAATTTATGTTAATTATAAGCTATAGTACATTAAGAAACAAATTCAATAAAAAAATTAATAATATTATTACTTACATTAATTATGTTTCTCAAAAATGTATATATAAATAAATATTTACTCACTTCATAGGCCCGATTAATAGCATTGCATAATCCAATATATCCCTTTTTACCATTAACTTTCCATTGTTTACTATCTTTTGGATACCAGAGTGAAAAATTCAATGTATGTAACACAAATAGCCAATCCGCTGTCGTCAGAGTTGTGCTAACCGGATATGTAATGGGACGCATCACATAGGTATTAGAATAATTAAAACTCTCGATATGATTCATTAAATATCGCACCACCTATGTAAATCAATCAAAATATATATATCTATTTAAATATGTTTAAAAAATCGAAAAAAAGAAATAATTATACACATATAACGATAATTTTCTCAAATACCCCAAAGTGCTCGTGATATTATATAAACACAATACGTTATCAAATAATATGGAAATTGATTATATATATATGTCTTAATTGATTAAGTGTGTGTAATCAATTCGCCAGTAAAAAATAAAAACGAAAAAGTATGTATTTAACATAAAAAACAACCAATACTGGACAATAAATTCTTTATTAAATTAAATATTTCATTATGTTTCGACCTCTGCTGGTTTAGGTCTTTTTCAAATAAAAATTCTCTTTAAGATGACATTAAAAAATAAAATCAATAAATAAAGTAGTGAGACAACCTTATAACATATCAAACAATATATTTAAAAAATCGTCAGTTTGACGAGACGTCTTTTAAGACACAAGATTTTCTTTATATATATTATATATTGTTTAATATGTGTGTTATAAAGGTGTCTCACTACTTTATCTATAATGTCATCTTAAAGAATATTTTGATTTGAAAAAGACCTAAACCAGAGGTCGAAACGTAATGAGATATTTAATTTAATAAATAATTTATTGCCGTTTTTCAATGTTAAATAAATAAATTGGTCGTTTTTTAATGTTAAATACATAATATGGAAATTCGTTTAAAGTTCTTTCTCTCTCGCTTGATATAATTCATTATTCATCAACTTTACTATTTTCTTATGTATAATAAACTAAAAAAATATTTCTATCAAATAATAAGAAATTATACAAAATTATATAAAATTTTTTAAATATATCCAGTTAACTTTACATTAAAAGAATACATTATTTTATAGATATAAAAACTCAAAATGAGTTGATTAACGTATCGAAAAACCGCGTGATATAATCTAACGGAAGGAAATTATAAAATTTCCTTTTCATATTTTAAATAAAAAATTGACCACTCTTGATATGTCACAAATAAATCTTTAAATTTTTTAATATAAGTTAACAAAAAACGTACATCTTGCGCTACTTTCTTGATTTTTTTTCTATTGACTGATACATCTTGTGCATGCCTACAGATAAATTTCACCGCCTCTGATAATTCCATCACATCACAGTTGCTGCTATTACCCTCGGCCATGATGTTACGTTATAACTGACAATCGTTTCACACTTACACGTTGAGTATCCGTGATTATGCCTTCTATCATACTGATCTTAGATGTCAGCGAAAGAATATAAATTCGATATAAACTTGACATGTATAAGGTCGTAAATATAAAAATTTATTTATATACAAAGATACGTTAAGTACGCTATTTATGACTCACTTTAAACATCTTGTCAGTTATGCTATTATGCTTACATTTTTATTTTACAATTACATTATTTTAATTATATTATTTTTAATAAGAAAGAAAACATATTTTGTATCTCTCACTTGATAAAATAATTAGTATGCGCGTCATCATTTACGAGAGAAAATTTTACATCAGGAATTTTATTCTCTGATGTAAGGTTACTTAGGAATAAATTTAATTTGTACAAAAATAAATTCTTATGCCTCGTTAATGGTTCTTATTTAACGACAACTAATCTTTTATAAATGTACACATATTTTATACAGATCAATTTTTTACACACGTATATTTTACAGACATCTTACTCACATTATAACATATTTATAATATTATTGTACAATAAACCATCTGTGACCAATACTGATCATTTAGAAATAAATTTTTATATCATTTTATAAAAGATGACGAGCCAACCGCGCACGGCATATATAGCCGCCCAAGTAAATTTAACTCACGGGTGAACGAACTCGAGGTGCGCCGCGTAGCGGCGACGCTCGTACTAATGGTGCAGCCGTTCGCCTGACGCTTTATTGTCGCGTTAACTATTTTTGTGGTTTTAATCGTCACAAATAAAAATTCGTGAATTAAAATTATGTACATAATAAAAATTCATCTAATTAAACTAATGTACACAATAGAATTTCGGGAATTAAAATTATATACATAATAGAAAATTGGCGAATTAAAATTATGATCATAGCATTAAACAACTGTTATTGCACAGATTAATAATTTGACAGTTGTATAATAAACAATTAAAAAATAATATCAAAGGAGCGTGTGATGTACATAATTTTTTGAATTCATGAATTTCCATTTGTGGCGATTAAAATCACAAAAATAGTTACCGTGGCAATAAATTCGCTCACCCGTGAGCCAAAGCACTCGGACGGCTATATACATGCAGTGAATCCATTGGTCCCGTGACCTCGGTATCGATATCGATTGTATAACTTTTTCTAAAGTGAAAATGTGAAAGGTGAAAAATTTCTTCTAATCACTCATCAATTTTATTTTAAAATAAATGCGTGATTGGCGGAAACTTTTTACTTTTCACGTTTTCACTTTAGAAAAAGTTACACAATCGATACATTGTGATACTTCGCTTAGAAATAAAATTCAAATAATTTTTATTAAAAAATAATTATTTTATTTTACAGTATATTATACTAAACAGTTATATTTTAATTTTATTATATATTTTAATTCTCGAATGTCTATTACGTACTGAATTTTAATTATGTATATAATTTTAAAGCTCCTGCACACTCGATTGCCAAGTGCGCGTTAACAGTGACGACTAATTCAAACAGTGAAAATAAAAATCTCTATATTGTTTTATCAATAACAGATATACTCTGATGTACAATAACGAAAATAATATAAATAATATGATTTTATTTATTAATAAATAAGCAAAAATGTTTATAGCATTTTAGGAAGCCAAAAAATTCTAGCGACGTACATGCAGCGTTATTTCTCGTTTTGGTGCAGCGTTTTTCTGTTTAAAATAATTGTCATGGTGTTAAAATATACCAAAAGCTCAATTTGGCATAATTTAATATGTGAAAGCAAATATAAAATAAGAGAAAACCGCCAAGAAAAATAAGAGAAAAATAAAATAAATATACAGCTATAATAACGACAGAAATATTAGGAAATATTAGGAATAATATCTCTCTCTTTTACCTATTTAAATTTCAAAATTTAAACTATCGAAAAAAAATTATATGAAAAAATCTTGCAAGCAAAGTAAAAATAAAAGAGCTTTTACTATAATTCAAAATAATCGCTTTACAGAAACAAAAAATTAACATGCCCAATTTTATAAATAATAAAAGCAGGACAAATTAATTAAAGAATCACGGTCTATTTGCTTCATACATTAAATTTTTAATATACAAATAATGAAATGAAAAAATAAATTTCTTGAACTTCTTTTATATTTGCATATGTCAAAACAATATACAATGTCATTTCTCGAATTCATATCAATATTTTCAAAAAAAATTATATACGCATTACATTGTTAAAAGAAACATTTTTGAATTAAGTATCTATCTCACTTAATAAAATAAAAATCGATTACTCATAATTTTTTGAAAGAAAATTTTACATAAGTATTTTATAATATCACTGACATTTTTATGTGCACATCAGCATAACATTATTACAAAAGCAGTGGCAATACTTTGATCAATGATTCGTAAATTAATAATGCTATAAAAAATATAATAAGTGTTTTAGTAGTGCACGCTTCTAATATAATGGAGCGGGCATTCTTTCAACAATTTATTACGAGTTTCAAGAAAGACATTTGTAAGAAAGAAATTATCCACCACAATCTGTGTGTTAATAAACTCTTGTGCCTTTAAAATAGGGTGTTTTTGTACGTGACGCTGAATTTGTCTATTCACTTCTTTAGATATTTCTTTGGCAGCAAAGAGTGAACAACCGCGTATCTCAATTTCTTCCCTGCTTCCATGCTCAAGCGGTTCATCTGCGAAAAAATATACAGCGCGTTTTTATATTATAATTCACTGAATTCGCATTCTAAACCCTTCTTATTATCCGAAACAAAATTTATTCGGACCAAAAACCTTTTAGAAATACAAACTTTTATGCAATAAATAAAATATCATAATTATATGTATGTATAATAATAAATTTGACATAATATAAAGCTGTATAGACAGATATTAATTCTTAAGATTATAGACATTATAGAGCTAAATATATCTGCAAATCACTTTTTGGCTTCTTATAAGATCGTTATTTGTCTCTCATAAATCATCGAGCAAATATTATGTTATATATGTTAATAAAATCTAATATAGCTATAACTTAATAAAAAGTTGTTTTTATCTTTCTCTAATATCAATCTCATTTTCGAATATTTCTTGTTTGGACAAATCAATAAATTTAATAAAACTATTATAGTAAATTAACAAGTTTACGTTCTGATTATATGGAAGTTACCAATAAGAAATTTCAATATAATTTATAAACTATAAATAATTCTTATAAAAAAATATTTTCTTTTTAGAAAAAAACCATTTTAGCAATTTTTTATAGTAGTTGGAATTTTATAATTTTGAATAAATATGTAATATGCATAGATAATTGTTTTGGCAAATAAGTTATTTAAAGTACCCTAAAACATAGTAAAATATTATGTTTGCTATGTTATCTTATGCTTTAAACTAAAAAAATTATTTCATCAAATTACTGAAAAATATTATTTCGTTAAATTACAAATATAAGTGCATAGAATTACAGAATTTATAAAATATTAAAGATTTGTCACTCGTAGAAAAAAAACTTAATGTTAAAAATCTTACCGTTATTTGCAAATCTTTCCACGAGCCTTTCACTGTAACTTATAAGTTCAAGCTTAAATAATACTTGAGGAATACAATAATCAATGAATATTGCAGACACCATCTTTGATGTATTTAATTTAAATAAAAGTTTGTTTTGAAAGTACTCCCATATATCGCACACCAGTGATCGAGCCTTGGCAAGAAAACGAACTGAAAGATAATTTAATAAGAGTAATATTATTAAACTAATATATAGGTATATAATGATATAAAAACACGCTAAATTACTTTACGTGTTAATTATATTAATTTAAATTAAATTTATGTAACATATTATAATTAACGAATTTGTTCGTAAAAAATTATATATTTTTGAATTTTATTTTTATAGTATTATATTAGTGTGTATCGAAATGAAAACTTTCACTGATATTTATCTAATATTTAACTATAATGTAGCAGTCAAATATATGGTCATACAAGTTTACTATGAATATTATAGTACAAAAGTAGTTTTCTCTAAATGAATTAAAACACTAAATTATAAATAAATTTATTCGTTTAATCAATCAAAAACTTATAATAATATATTACAGTAGAGTTCGCGAATCATTGCATGACGATATTAAGTAATAGTAAGTAAAATTAATATTTCGATAAAAATAGTTTTATTGAAATATTAATTTCACTTATTATTACTTAATATCGTCATGCAATAATTTGCAAACTCTATTAGAATATATTATTATAAATAATTACCTTTTTTTCCATCGTATATTACTTCGTCCCGATATGACTCGAATTCATCGAAAAGTAATTTCATCAATTTGTCTGCATCGTATTCGGATAATTTGAGACATTCCATAAAAGTTCCTATAACAATATTAGTAATATATTATTTTAGTAAAATTTATGTATGTGCTCATATTATATAAATGTAAAAATTGAATTGTCATAACATCTGCATTCAATTACATTTTCTGCAGTAAATTATATTTTTTAAGTAACAGAAAATTGGTCCTGAATGAGTTTTTGTAAAATCAAAAGTATATGTGAATGTTATAAATTTTTTTGACACGTCATATCGGAATTTATACCTTTATACTTCTGCAACAAAACTTCTCCAACTTCATGTAAAATCCTAAGTCTTTCATCTATAAGTGGAATTTCAGGTTCACCATCGTCACTTTGTAAAATACATTTTAACTCACTTTTTGTCATTTTTGTGTAATATTCAGGATTCCATATAGGTTTTCCATCCTTTTGCAAACATTTCAAAAAAAACTTAAACTTCGTTGAAACTTATAAGTAATGCATAATGCATAGAGCACAAATAAAGCGTACTGAACAAATTAAATAGAATCTCATTTAAACATTTTTATTTTAATAAGCACTGTCTATATACCCTTTGAGAAAATGTATTATCAGTATTATACATTATGTTGCAAAATAAAAATAAAAAAAATGTCGATTAAAGAAGCTAAAAAACATATTGCACAAATAATATATAATATATTAATATTTTACTGTTGTGATATTAATTGTTTTTAGAGAAATGTTTTTAGAGAAAATTAATTAACAATTCCTGCACGAAGATCGATGACTTCACCAAAAATTTTCAAAACGGAATGTAATAATATAATCATAAATAAAAGATGAAAACAATAAAGAAAAATATTGTTAAATAATAAAGAAATAAGCAATTTTATTTGTACAAATATGTTTGAAACGTTACATGATATTTACAAATATTAGTCAGGAATATGATATAAAACAAAGTATATTTTTTTATTTGTTGAACAAATGAAATTTGGATTATGTTCTATATTACGATAATTAAGCGTATTGTTCTTTATAAAAATTCTCATTATAAACAACAGATACGTTCAACAATTACGATATTCTTAAATGCATTAAATATTGCACAAATATTATTATTCTGATATTAATAAACTATGGTATATTAAATTATTGTATATTAAACTATTTTAAAATTAAATAAAATATGGAAAATTGCATAAATATTTAAACAAATGTAAGGCACAAATTAATAAATATCATAAAAAAAATAAAATAAAACAAACAATTGATTATTTGATGATATTTCTGAACTATTTATAAAATGTGAAAAAAAATATATAATTTGTGTTATTTATAAACTACATTACACCTAAGAACAAACTTGATGAAAAAATCTGGTAATATTTCTATATAGTTACATCAATTATGTTACACAAAAATGTAAATAAATAAGCATTGTACTCACTTCAATGGCTCGTTTAATAGCTATGCATAATCCACAATATCCCTTTTTACCATCAACTTTCCATTGCCTAGTACCTTTTGGATACCAGAGTGAAAAATTCAATGTATGCAACACAAATATCCAATCTACCAACATCGGTACCTCAACACACGGATATGTGGATTTGAGCCGTACAACATTGTTATTAATTAGATAAAAATAATTGATATTTTCTAATATATATTGCACCACCTATGTGAATCAATCAAAATATCTGTTTAAATATAAAAAAAATCGAAAGAAATCAATTTTACTCAAACAACGATTTATTTTCAAATATCCCACAGTGCTCGCGATATTAAATACACAGAATACATTACCAAACATCTTTGCAATAATTGCGAATATCAAATAATATACTAAAATATTTGCTAACTGTTATGCATATATTATATCTACACCGAATATAAACAATTAATTGTACATATAAACGAAAATTGAATAGAAAATAAATTAAAAGGAAAGATAATAATGTTGTTTAAATAGCAGATAATCTATCAAAAGATTAATTTGGTAACATGAAAATTCTTTAAAGTCCTTTTCTTCTTCTCGATATAATTCCTTATTTATAACCTTACCATTTTCTTAAGCATATTAAACCAGAAAAATATATACAAAATTATAAAAAAATTATACAAAATTATATAAAATTTGTTAAATATACATTAATTTTATCGTATAAAAATACTATACTTTATCGATATAAAAATTCGAAATAAATTGATTAAGGTATCTAAAAATCGCATGATATAATCTAACGAAAGGAAATTATAAAATTTCCTTTTTATATTCAAAATAAAAATTGACAATTTTGATATAAATATATCTCAAAATTTTTGAAACAAATTCTAAAAAAACGTACCATTTCCGCTACTTTTGGGATATTTTCCTCGATGATAAAAACGTCTTGTGCATCCCTTTTGATCAATTTCATCGCCTTCCATAATTTCATCACAGCATAGTCACTGCTAATACCCTCGGCCATGACTTTACTTTATATTTGGTAATCGCTTCGGCACTATACAATGTATCTGTGATGATGCTTTTTGTTATACTGATCTCAGATGTTAGCGAAAAAAGAAAAATTCGATATAAACACAATTGTAAACTTTACATGTATAAGGTTGTTGTTTATGTACATTTGTTTATATGTACAGAAATACATTAATATGCGTTAAATATTTGACTCATTTTTAAATTTTGAAGTTACGTTTATATTTTTATAATTACATTATTGCTCTAATGCTTGCACAATAATTAATAAAGGTAAATATAAAAAAGGGTCTTAAAAATAGATCCAATTATTTAATTTTATTCTTTTAATTATGGTGTATACATTTTTATACTATTTGTAAGATAAAATAAATATGCATTCCATATTTGTAAACGAAGAGATAAACTAAAACTATAGAAATGTAGACATTATCGCGGAAAAATATACATATGAAAAAATATGTAATTTTCCTATTCTGCATTTGAAATTATGCAAAATGATTGTTTTATTTAATCACATTTGTAACTTTTTATTCTATTCCTCCTTAATCTAAATTTTAATTTTAAATAGTATAGAGTGATCTTATCTGTGAAACAAAGCTAAATAGTAATCAATTTTATATATATTGTGTATATATGTATATAGAATACAAACGACAATTAATTAAAATTTTATATTATTATATACAAAAATGCAAGTATAAATTTCATGCTTCCAAAAAAATAAGAAAAAACTATAACTACATTAACTTAATAAATATTAAAAAAATAATATGACTTCCTTGCTCATTTAACTTTCAAAATTTAAACTATCGAAATGAATATAATAAACAATAACAAGCAAATAAAACAAAGAAAATAAATACATAATAAATTTCTGATGTGTATACACTAAATATATATAAAAAAATAGATCTGTTTAATTTCTTTCATTTTTGCATGTATAAATAATTCTCAAATACATAATATTATGTTGTATTCGATGTCGTACTCTTTTTTTAATTTTAACTGAATATTTTCAATATTTTAAAATCGCGACATTTTAATTATTATAATAAAACTATATAAATATAATATAAATAATAATAATAATAATAATTAAAAAATCGCGATTTTAAAATACTCAAAATATTCAATTAAAGTTAGAGAAAGAATACGGAACGGTATCGTGTTACAGAACACTTAAATTGCACTCCATGAAAACTACATAAAAAAATGATGTAAATATGTGAATTCTTTATTTTCAATAAATAATAAATAAAATAAATTATAAATTAAAGATAAAAGTATTTAAAATTTTCAATTAATTATTCACTCTAGTATATCAATATATGTTATAATGCATATCTCAGGGTTTATTACACTCAAATCAAACACTCAGGTATTATTTCTTTAAGGAATAATATAGATTGACTTCTTAAATGCTTAATCAAAGTTATCTTCTTGTCTCGTATTTAAAAGAAAAATATTAATATAAACAAAGATTAAATCTAAATAGTTTTGATTACAAATTACAGGGTGTCCCACAAAAACTGCTGTAACTAATCAGCTGTCATTTTTTAATTTAATGCATGCAGTTATTGAAAAAACAAAAATTGTATTGAAAGTAGAAATCTTCAGTTTTTAATGGATATAAATAAAATGTTTGTACATTACTTTATTTTATTGCTAAAAAATGATGAAAAATGTACTAATAATCACATATGTACACTAATGATAAATATTTTCGAAGTGCGCACCATTTAAATTTGAAAAAATTCCATTCTTTTACAAAAATTCGTACAAACTTTTTCTAACATGTCATTTTAATGTTATTGACGATCCTTTCAATAGCTGCTATTAAATCTGGCACCGTTAAAAATATTTATCATTAGTTTATGTGATTTTATGTGATTATTAACACTCTTTTCATTACTTTTAATCAATAAAATAAACTAATATACAAACATTTTATTTATATGCATTAAAAAATGTAAACTTTTCTCTTTTCAACACAATTTTTGTTTTCTCAATAACTGCATGCATTAAAATATTAAAAACTGACAGCTGATTAGTTTCTACATTTTCCTACGGACACTCTGTAAAAAAATAAGAGATTGTATCTCTTTCTGTCTATGTACATATAAAGTGTATTTCATTGACTCATAATTGCCAAAATTACAAGAATATTAATTACTGTTAAGATTAACAGAAATTATACAACAGTTAAATAATTACTTCTATAGCTTTTATTGGAATGATACGGCTGTTTGTGCACCAAAGACATAAATACAAAGATCTGTATATTGATAGTTGGTCGACAAAAATATTCGGCAATTTCTTGAATCATATGTGAAAACATCTTGCATTTTCAAAAATTTTTGTGACGCTGTGAACAATAAAAATATTGTTATAATAATAAAATTTAAAAATTAAAAAGTATATACATATGTATGTGTGAGTGAGCATAATAAGTAGAAAAATTTGCAAAAAATTCAGATAATTTCGAATTTAATATTATACGTACTAATTTGGTTTCCAAAATATGTTGTAGCAAAGAATATAGAATGTTGTAGATTTATTATATCGCAACGTAGATCTAGTCTCCTGGCCACGCTGTGATATAATCACTAAAATTATTTCTTGGCCACATTTACGTAGTAAGACCTGCAGCAGACATTATAATATATGTATAGAAATTAATCAGAAAACGAAGAAATGTTTAATATATAAAAAACATATGGCCAATAATATTATATTATAATCTATAATAACTTACATTATCTATACACATGTTTGTCAAATTTGTGTCTGTCAATTTGCATAGTCGAAAGTTTAATTTGCCAAGTATATATTCGTCGAGGGTATCCATAATTTCAATTCTTTTTGCTTCGTTCCAATGATTATCGTCGATTTTGTTGTTTTTTCAATAGGAAAGAGTTTCATCAGACGTGGAGAATATCGAATGGTTGGAATGCTTCTAATATATAAAAGCACAATTTTATTTCTAAATGTTAAAAGCGTTATACGATATTTGCAAATATTAGTCACGAACAGGGCCGTCTTAACCACGTGTGCAGAGTGTGCGCCGTACACGGACGCAGGATATAAGGGGTGGCAAATGATTAAAAAGTTTGTGAAGAAAATAAAATAATGTTTCTTATAAAAAAAAACTCAATTCTTTGGTTGTTTTAAATATAGAAAATGAAATATTTAAAACCCTAAATAAAAAAGATATTATAAAAAAATTTGCTATACCAAAACAGCTAAATCTCCATTAAATTGAAAAGTTAATATTATGTTTGTCTTTCTTATATTTTAAATAATAAATCATATATATATATATATATATATATATATAACTTTTTTCATTGTTCTTTATTTTATACTTTGAAGGGCGGCCAAATATTCGCTGACACGCGAGCGGTACCAATACTAAAGAAGGCCCTGGTCACAAATACTAAGATAAAACAAACTAGATATACTTTCTAAATTTTACTTATTTAAAATTCAAATTTACATCTTACGCGCTATATTCCGATAATTAGCGTAATTATCTTTATTATAAAATAGAGTAAATACATTCTACACCATATTCTAAAATTATGTAATGTGTATGATTTTATACTATGTAAAAATAAATTTAAGAATATTATGATTAAAATTCAGCAACTTGCATAAATATGTACCAAATTATAAGTAATACATAAATTGGGAAATATCATTTTTCAGTAAAATAGAATATACAAAAGATCAACTAAAATCGCATAAATCAATTTTAGTACAAAATATTATATTAGACACAGATGAAAGCTTTGCCAACTAATGCAGATAAAGATAAGATGTTAATAATATATCCATTTTAAAACGAGAAATTTTAGTAATATTTCTGAGAAAACCATAAAATGTTAACGAATATTAATATAATTTACGTTAACTGTAAATTATAATACACTAAAGAGCAGATCTTATAAAAAAATTAAAAATATTAATTTAACGTATAAGACGGGCAACAAGAACCAAATCGCGGATGACAATGCGTTATCCTAACGAAACTAAATAATTTTCCGTTAGAATTAAATACCGGTGCACAAGGCACCAAATTTTTACTTGGACACGGCCAAGATTTTTTTAAATATGAAATAATCTCATATTTGAGATTTAATTTAAATACCCCTTTTAACCCCCCTACGGAAAATAAATAAATGAATGCAAGAGAAAAATATAGATCCGAAAATCGCTGAATCGGGAATCGAACCCGAGACCTTTCGCTTGCCGGGCGACTGCTCTTCCAGCTGAGCTATTCAGATCCTTTCGATTCTATACCTTTCTCTGTTATATATATTAATGTTGGTAAACAAACGCATTTTTTAAGCCAGCGTGTATCAATATAAGAGTTTTAACAAGGCTCTGTAATATAAATATAAATTTAACGTATAAGACGGGCAACAAGAGCCAAATCGCGGATGACAATGCGTTATCCTAACGAAACTAAATAATTTTCCGTTAGAATTAAATACCGGTGCACAAGGCACCAAATTTTTACTTGGACACGGCCAAGATTTTTTAAATATGAAATAATCTCATATTTGAGATTTAATTTCAATACCCCTTTTAACCCCCCTACGGAAATATATTTATATTACAGAGCCTTGTTAAAACTCTTATATTGATACACGCTGGCTTAAAAAATGCGTTTGTTTACCAACATTAATATATATAACAGAGAAAAGTATAGAATCGAAAGGATCTGAATAGCTCAGCTAGAAGAGCAGTCGCCCGGCAAGCGAAAGGTCTCGGGTTCGATTCCCGATTCAGCGATTTTCGGATCTATATTTTTCTCTTGCATTCATTTATTTATTTTCCGTAGGGGGGTTAAAAGGGGTATTGAAATTAAATCTCAAATATGAGATTATTTCATATTTAAAAAATCTTGGCCGTGTCCAAGTAAAAATTTGGTGCCTTGTGCACCGGTATTTAATTCTAACGGAAAATTATTTAGTTTCGTTAGGATAACGCATTGTCATCCGCGATTTGGCTCTTGTTGCCCGTCTTATACGTTAAATTTATATTTATATTACAGAGCCTTGTTAAAACTCTTATATTAAAAATATTGTTAGTAACATTAATTATGTTGGTCAAAAGTGGGTAAAAGCATGGTACTCACATAAATAGCCCGTCTTATAGCATTACATAATCCAGGAAATCCTTCTGCACCACAATTCCATTGCTCAGTACCCTTTGAATACCAGAGTGTAAAATTCAATATAACTGTATCAGTCACATATGTTAGACGACGTACAAAACATTTATTGTATGAAATTCCTCTGAATCTGCGTCATCACCTATGCCAATCAAAATATTTATTCAAATGTAAAAAATGTAAAAAATCAATTTTACACATAAACAATCATTTTCAAATATCCTAGAGTGCTCGTGATTTTAAATAAACAAAATACGTTACCAAAAATCTTTGTAATAATTGCGAATGACAAATAATACTAAAATATTTGCTAAATATTATACATATATTTATACTTAATATATTATATTATCCAAAAAAATATAAAAAATTAATTTTACACATAAACAATCATTTTCAAATATCCTAGAGTGCTCGTGATTTTAAACAAACAAAATACGTTGCCAAAAACCTTTGTAATAATTGCGAATGACAAATAATACTAAAATATTTGCTAAATATTATACATATATTTATACTTAATATATTATATTATACAATTAATTGTATGTAAAAATTGTACAACAGAAAATAAATTAAAAGAATAGAATAATTGTTTTTAAATATCTTACTTGTCAAAAATTAATTTGATAGCATGGAAATTTTTTAATGTTTTTTTTCGCTCGATATAATTATTAATCTTTTCACCCATTTGCTTATGTATATTAATTAAAAAAAATATTTATCCAAAATTATTAAAACTTATACAAAATTATATAAAATATGTCATGAATATATCTTAAAATTTTTTAACATAAGTTAAAACAAATAAGAAAACATACGTTCTCCGCCAATGGCTTCATATATTTTTCATTAATATGAACATCTTTTGCCTCTTTACGGATCAATTCCATCGCCTTCGGTAATTCCATCACATCATAGTCACTGTTAGTGCACCCTCGGTCATGACTTTGTTATAGAATTTAATTAATTAGTAACAAATATTAATATTTGCAATCGTTTCAGACCGTCGACTATCCATGACCATGGTTCTTGTTATACTGATCTTACGTAGATCGTCAGCGAAGGAAGTTAAACTCGATATAAACTCGACATGTACATACAAGGTCGTAAATATAAACATAGGCTGTTTATGACTCGCTTTTGAAACCTTGTCAGTTATGCTTATATTTTCGTGTTTTCATTCCTTTATTGCTTCTCTCCGAATAATTAAATAATTGCTTTAATTAATTTTTCTTCCAATTTATAAATCTGTTATATTAAATCTAAATATAACAATCATAAGAAATAGATTCATTTATTTGATTTTGTTTCTTTTAAATTTCTTATACACATTCCTGTACTAATTGTAAGATAAAATAATTATGCATTTTTATATTTATAAAAAAAAGCGGCAAATTAAAATGTGTAGAAATTTAAATGTAGAAATTATAAAACTGAAAAAATATACAACAGAAAATAATATTCAATTTTCCTTATTCTATGTATAAAATAATGCAAAATGATTTCTTTTTTAATAAATAACTACATTTCTTACATTCTCTTTTATTCTTTTCCAAAATTGTTATAAAATAGTATAGATTTAACTTATCTGCAAAACAAAGTTGAAAAGTTGCCAATTATATAAATATTATGTATATGCAATTATATTGTAAAAACGCTATTTAAAATTTTGTAAAAATGTTATGTCATTAAAGAAACAAGAGAAACATACATATACAATAATCCAATATACATCAACTTTTTCTTACTCATTTAAATTTTAGAATATAAACTATCAAAATAAAAATACTAAAAAAGATTTAACGTGCAAAGTAAAAGTAATAAAACTATTATAATAATTATAACTACTATAACTAAAATACCACAAAAATAATTACAATTACTAATATAATTAAATATAATCCATTATACAAACAAAGATACCAGAAAATTTACTAAAGTATTTTCGATATTTATTGTTACAAATAATAAAAGCAGATCCAATTAATTGAAAAATCATATTTTATATACCACATTTATAATATACATTAATTTATAAAAAAAAATATATTTTTCCGTTCTAGTATTTGAATATATCAGAAAAATGTGCACATTATATATATATACTGTATATATATATATATATATATATATTTCTCGAATACATATACGTATCATTATTTTCAATAAAACTATCTGTTTTAAAATGCTAGAGAAAAATATTTTTGGATTAAATATCTATAATCTATATCAATCAATAAAATATAAATCGTTTGAATCATCATCATTACTAAGAATATACATATATATACATCTTACATTATAATTTATATTATATTACAGATATTCTTTTTCTCTCTCAATCAATATAACATTATTACAAAAACAATAATTAATACTTTTGATCAATTATTCGCAAGCTAACAAAAATAGGATAAAATATAATATTATTTTAGTACTACAATGTTCTAATAAAATGCAATGAGTATTGATTCAAAGATTTATTTTCAATTCTAGCAAATAGAATTCCGAACAAAACATTATCGACCACAACCGAAACGTTAAACACTTTTGTCCCTAAAATAGATTTTTCTTTTATGTTATGTTACTTAATCTTCGTAACTCATTACATATTTCTTGGAGAACAAAAAGTGAACAACCGCGCACCTCAATTTCTTCCCTGCTTCCATGCTAAAGTGGTTCATCTATAGGAAAAATGCAGTGCTTTTTTTTAATTAAGGTCGTAAATATAAAAATTTATGTACAAAAGTACATTAAAGTACGACATTTATGATTCACTTTAAACATCTTGTCAGTTATGCTATTATGCTTACGTTTTTACATTAATTACATTATTTTAATTATATTATTTTAATTACATTATGTAATACTTACTAATTACATTATATATTACTAATCACATTATCATTATATAATACTTGTTTAATTGCTTTAATTTATTGTTACCTTTCTCTAACTTATAAAACTATGTCGTGTTTCATATTAAGTCTGCACAAATGTAACAATCAAAAATATATTTATTTATATGCTTTTATTTTTTAACCACACTATAGATACATATTCTTGTAATTACAATAAATGTAAGTTAAAATAAATAAGCATCCTATATATTTAAAGGAGAAGCAAATTTAAATTTTAAAGATGTGTCAAAATGTAGAAATTATTGGTGTCAAAATATACAACTAAAAGAAATATGCCATTTTTTTAATTCTATATACAAATATAAAATAATTTTCCTTATTGAATATTGAATACATTTGTAACCTTTATTTTATCCCAATTGTTTCTAAAAATCTATTTTCAAAAAATGTTATAGATTTAACTAATCTGTGTGCGAAACAAAGTTGAATCGTTATCCATTATATACATGTACGTTATATACTATTATAATTATATCTGTAACAAAGCACAAGACATATTAGTCAGTAAAGTGTCAAGAAAGTGGCGGAAGATGTACGTTTATTCGTTAAATGCAATTTCAAATCTTGCAAATATATTTTACTATTAAAACAATAAAAATAATACTTAAATATTAAAACAATGATATCCCTTTCTTACTCATTTAAATTTCAAAATTTAAACTATCGAAAAAAAAAATATTAAAAAATTTTATTTGCATTTTTGGATTAAGTATCTATCTCACTTAATAAAATAAGAATCGATTACTCATAATTTTTGGAAAGAAAATTTTACATAAGTATTTTATAATATCACTGACATTTTTATGTGCACATCAGCATAACATTATTACAAAAGCAGTGGCAATACTTTGATCAATGATTCGTAAATTAATAATGCTATAAAAAATATAATAAGTGTTTTAGTAGTGCACGCTTCTAATATAATGGAGCGGGCATTCTTTCAACAATTTATTACGAGTTTCAAGAAAGACATTTGTAAAAAGAAATTATCCACCACAATCTGTGTGTTAATAAACTCTTGTGCCTTTAAAATAGGGTGTTTTTGTACGTGACGCTGAATTTGTCTATTCACTTCTTTAGATATTTCTTTGGCAGCAAAGAGTGAACAACCGCGTATCTCAATTTCTTCCCTGCTTCCATGCTCAAGCGGTTCATCTGCGAAAAAATATACAGCGCGTTTTTATATTATAACTCACTGAATTCGCATTCTGAACCCTTCTTATTATCCGACACAAAATTCATTCGGACCAAAAACATTTTAGAAATACAAACTTTTATGCAATAAATAAAATATCATAATTATATGTATGTATAATAATGAATTTGACATAATATAAAGCTGTATAGACAGATATTAATTTTTAAGATTATAGACATTATAGAGCTAAATATATCTGCAAATCACTTTTTTGGCTTCTTATAAGATCGTTATTTGTCTCTCATAAATCATTGAGCAAATATTATGTTTTATATGTTAATAAAATCTGATATAGCTATAACTTAATAAAAAGCTGTTTTTGTCTTTCTCTAATATCAATCTCATTTTCGAATATTTCTTGTTTGGACAAATCAATAAATTTAATAAAACTATTATAGTAAATTAACAAGTTTACTTTCCAACGCATAGTCAAATATTATTATGTTTGTTATGCTATTTTATGCTTTAAACTAAAAGAAATTATTTCATCAAATTACTGAAAAATATTATTTCATTAAATTACAAATATAAGTGCGTAGAGTAAGAAATGTTATAGAAAATTAAAAATTTATCACTCGTAGAAAAAAAACTTAATGTTAAAAATCTTACCGTTATTTGCAAATCTCTCCACGAGCCTTTCACTGTAACTTATAAGTTCAAGCTTAAATAATACTTGAGGAATACAATAATCAATGAATATTGCAGACGCCATCTTTGATGTATTTAATTTAAATAAAGGTTTGTCCTTAAAACACTCCCACATATCGCACACCAATGATCGAGCCTTGGCAAGAAAACGAACTGAAAGATAATTTAATAAGAGTAATATTATTAAACTAACGTATGTATATATATATATATATATATATATATATATATATATAATGATATGAAAACACGCTAAATTACTTTACGTGTTAATTATATTAATTAAAATTAAAATTATGTAACATATTATAATTAACGAATTTGTTCGTAAAAAATTATATATTTTCGAATTTCATTTTTATAGTATTATATTAGTGTGTATCAAAATGAAAACTTTTACTGATATTTATCTAATATTCAACTGATATAATAGTCAAATATATGGTCATACAAAATTTATTATAAATACTATAATACAAAAATAGTTTTCTCTGAATGTATTATACGCTGAATTATAAATAAATTTATTTATTTCGTTTAATCAATCGAAAACTTATAATCATACATTACAGTAGATTTCGCAAATCATTACATGACAATATTATGTAATAACAAGTTATATTAATATTTCGATAAATGTAGTTTTATTGAAATATTAATTTCACTTATTATTACTTAATATCGTCATGCAATGATTCGCAAACTCTATTAGAATATATTATTATAAATAATTACCTTTTTTCCATCGTATATTACTTCGTCCCGATATGACTCGAATTCATCGAAAGTAATTTCATCAATTTGTCTGCATCGTATTCGGATAATTTGAGACATTCCATAAAAGTTCCTATAATAATATTAGTAATATATTATTTTAATAAAATATATGTATGTGCTCATATTATATAAATGTAAAAATTGAATTGTCATAATATCTGCATTTAATTACATTTTCTGCAGTAAATTATATTTTTTAAGTAACAGAAAATTGGTCCTGAATAAGTTTTTGTAAAATCGAAAGTATGTGAATGTTATAAATTTTTTTTGACACGTCATATCGGAATTTATACCTTTATACTTCTGCAACAAAACTTCTCCAACTTCATGTAAAATCCTAAGTCTTTCATCTATAAGTGGAATTTCAGGTTCACCATCGTCACTTTGTAAAATACATTCTAACTCACTTTTTGTCATTTTTGTGTAATATTCAGGATTCCATATAGGTTTTCCATCCTTTCGCAAACATTTCAAGAAAAACTTAAACTTCAATGAAACTTATAAGTAATGCATAATGCATAGAGCACAAATAAAGCGTACTCAACAAATTAAATAGAATCTCATTTAAACATTTTTATTTTAATAAGCACTGTCTATATACTCTTTGAGAAAATGTATTATCAGTATTATACATTATGTTGCAAAATGAAAATAAAAAAAATGTCGATTAAAGAAGCTAAAAAACATATTGCACAAATAATATATAATATATTAATATTTTACTGTTGCGATATTAACAAATTGCTTTTAGAGAAAATTAATTAACAATTCCTGCACAAAGATCGATGACTTCACCAAAAATTTTCAAAACGGAATGTAATAATATAATCATAAATAAAAGATGAAAACAATAAAGAAAAATATTGTTAAATAATAAAGAAATAGGCAATTCTATTTGTACAAATATGTTCGAAACGTTACATGATATTTACAAATATTAGTCAGGAATATGATATAAAACAAAGTATATTTTTTTATTTGTTGAACAAATGAATTTTGGATTATGTTCTATATTACGATAATTAAGCGTATAGTTCTTTATAAAAATTCTCATTATAAACAGCAGATACGTTCAACAATTACGATATTCTTAATGCATTATATTTTAATATATTGTATTATTAAATATTATTATTCTGATATTAATAAATTATGGTATATTAAATTATTGTATATTAAACTATTTTAAAATTAAATAAAATATGAAAAATTGCATAAATATTTAAACAAATGTAAGGCACAAATTAATAAATATCATAAAAAAAAAATAAAACAAACAATTGATTATTTGATGATATTTCTGAACCATTTATAAAATGTGAATAAAAATATATATTTGTGTTATTTATAAACTACATTACACCTAAGAACAAACTTGATAAAAGAATCTGATAATATTTCTATATAGTTATATCAATTATGTTACACAAAAATATAAATAAATAGCATTGTACTTACTTCAATGGCTCGTCTAATAGCATTGCATAATCCAAAATATCCCTTTTTACCATCAACTTTCCATTGCTTAGTACCTTTTGGATACCAGAGTGAAAAATTCAATGTATGCAACACAAATAGCCAGTTCACCGACATCGGGTCGTTATCAATCGGATATGTTTTGGGACGTACCAAATTATTATTAATTGGAACAAAATAATTGATATTTTTTAATATATATTCCATCACCTATGTGAATCAATCAAAATATCTTCTTAAATATAAAAAAATCCAAAGAAATCAATTTTACTTAAACAACAATTTGTTTTCAAATATCCCACAGTGTTTGCGTTATTAAATACACAAAATACATTGCCAAATAGCTTTGCAATAATTGCAAATAACAAATAATAGATATACTAAAACATTTACTAATTGTTATATACATATATATCTACACCGAATGTATCATACAATTAATTGTACATATAAACAAAAATTGAATAATAGATAATAAATTAAAAGGAATAAAAATAATAATGTTATTTTAATAGCATAACTTTATCAAAAATTAATTTGGTAACATGGAAATTCTTTAGTTATAAAAGTTCTTTTCTTTCCCTTGATATGATTTATTATTTATAACCTTACTATCTTCTATATATATGCATATTAAACCAGAAAAATATATACAAAATTATAAAAAATTATACAAAATTATATAAAATTTGTTAAATATACATTAATTTTATCGTATAAAATACTTTACTTTATCGATATAAAAATTCAAAATAAGTTGATTAAGGTATCTAAAAATCGCATGATATAATCTAACGAAAGGAAATTATAAAATTTCCTTTTTATATTTAAAATAAAAATTGACAATTTTGATATGAATATATCTCAAAATTTTTAAAACTTAAGTTCTAAAGAAACGTACCATTTCCGCTACTTTTGGGATATTTCCTTCGATGACAGAAACGTCTTGTGCATCCTTTTTGATCGATTTCACCGCCTTCCATAATTCTATCACAGCATAGTCACTGCTAATACCCTCGGCCATGACTTTACTTTATATTTGGTAATCGCTTCGGCACTATACAATGTATCTGTGATGATGCTTTTTGTTATACTGATCTCAGATGTTAGCGAAAGAAGAAAAATTCGATATAAACACAATTGTAAACTTTACATGTATAAGGTTGTTGTTTATGTACATTTGTTTATATGTACAGAAATACATAATATGCGTTAAATATTTGACTCATTTTTAAATTTTGAAGTTACGTTTATATTTTTATAATTACATTATTGCTCTAATGCTTGCACAATAATTAATAAAGGTAAATATAAAAAAGGGTCTTAAAAAATAAATCCAATTATTTAATTTTATTCTTTTAATTATGGTGTATACATTTTTATACTATTTGTAAGATAAAATAAATATGCATTCCATATTTGTAAACGAAGAGATAAACTAAAACTATAGAAATGTAGACATTATCGCGGAAAAATATACATATGCAAAAATATGTAATTTTCCTATTCTGCATTTGAAATTATGCAAAATGATTGTTTCATTTAATCACATTTGTAACTTTTTATTCTATTCCTCCTTAATCTAAATTTTAATTTCAAATAGTATAGAGTGATCTTATCTGTGAAACAAAGCTAAATAGTAATCAATTTTATATATATTGTGTATATATGTATACTAGCTTTTCGGACCGCGCTTCGCGCGGTCCTCAAAGCCATTCTATTCGGACCGCACTCCGCGCGGTCCTCATATAGCCTATATTAAATCCGTTTTAACACAACAAATTAATTCTTTTTTTCTATTACCGCGAACTACTTCCACATTTGTTGTTTGTCAAAATGTTATGTATAAAATATCTGGGAGAAAGAAATAGATAACATAGTAGTCATCCATAAAAAATTTAAACATTTATTTTGGTTAATATATACTTTAAATATTTTTTTTATTACTTAATTATTATATCCTTTTTTACATTTTACTCAATTTTTTTTATTTCTAATGTACCCACCGCTAACCCGCTATTATTAGCTCTCATACAATTTCATAATTCTTCAATTTACAAAATTTCCCTGTATATTACATTTTTTGTAAAACATTTTTCACTTTCTTCAATTAAATGTCCTTGATTGCTACATTCATCAATTTTAATTTTTACACTTTCTCTTTTTGTTGCTCTAGAAAATGCCACATAAAGTTGACCATGAGCAAATACAGGATGTGGCAAATAAATTCCAATTTTTTCTAAACTTTGTCCTTGTGATTTATTTATTGTCATAGCAAATGACACTCGAATAGGAAACTGTCTTCGTTTAAACTTAAATGGCAGTTCCAAATCATTTGTAATTAAATCTATCCTCGGAATCATGACAATTTGTCCTCGAGCAGGACCTGTTATAACTTCTACATAAATTATATTATTTTTCAAATTAGTTACAATAAATCTTGTACCATTACAAAGTCCTTTTTTAGTATTTAAATTTCTTAATAAAATTACTGTAGCACCAACTTTTATTTTAAGCCGATGAACTGGCATTCCAGAAGGTGTTAGTGAGTTTAGAAACTCAGTTGGAAAATTTAATTGCTCCTGTGGATCATCACTTACAATACAGTCAATAGAGAGATACTCCTTTTCTTCTCCTTCCATTAGACAAAGAATTTCATCATTAATTTTGAAAGTATCCTCATTTTTAGGACAAAGAATCGCTCGATCCTGATTTTCTCTAATCCTTTTCATGGTAATTCTATCACCAAAAATCTCATTAATAAGAGATTCTTTTGATATAAAATCTTGTGGAATTTCAATCGTGTCTAAATTTAGTCCATCTGTATTTGATAATTTACCATCTCCGAGTTGCATTAACCAATTTGCAAATTCTTTTTCTTCCGCAGTTCTCATATTTTGCTGTAATTTAACCTTAATTACATTCCTCCATATAGGGTTGTATTTTACAGTCGATTCAATTATCGCTGTTTTGTGTACATGAGGTACTACTGGAAGATTTTGTCTGAAATCTCCTGCAAATAAAATTACTTTTCCTCCAAATGGTTGATGATTCTTCATTAAATCCTTGAAAAGTTTATCAACTGCTGTTAAGGCATGTCCAACAGTCATGCTCACTTCATCCCATATGATTAATTTGGCATTGATCAATTCTCGTGCAGCTTGAGAATTTCCTCTAATATTTGATTTAGCTGCATCATCAATTGGAATTGTAAGCTTAAACAGAGAATGATAAGTTCTTCCTCCTTTCAGAAGTGTGGCTGCAATTCCAGTTGAAGCACATGGAAGAATTATTTCATTTCTTCCTCGAATAACACTTAGAAATGTATTAAATAGATAGGTTTTACCACTTCCTGCAAACCCGTCAATAAAAAACAAACGCTTAGGTTCATTTTCATTTTCAATTGCTCGCATTACTATATCATACACGTATTTTTGCTCATCATTTAGTGTAGATAATAAATAATCACCACGTATTTTTTCTTCATCTACATTATACTCTGTTTCGTAAATATTTATTTCAGTTGGATTTGGTAATTGAAATTTCTCACAACTACTTCCATTATTTATCAGAATTTGTTGTATATGGTTTAACGCCATATTTTCGGGATTTACAACATTATTATTTACAAAGTCCTCAATCATAAAATCTTTGTATTTATTCCAAATTGTTGGTACATCTATTGGATTTCCAAAGATGCAAATGTAAGCAAATAATTCTCGAAGTTGTGCAGGCATATTCGATTCTGTTGCTTCCTCCATCGTTTTTCCCCAAAAGTCATCAGTTTCTACTAAATTTTTTGCAATTGCTGCATCCTTAAACGTATTATAAATAATTCCATTTACATTTCTCAAATCTTCAAAACATTTTGCTCCAGTCACATGTAGTAGAAGAAGACGGAGATAAAATCTTTCAATATCTTTTATGCTTACTGTATATAGTCTTGAAATTATTTTTTCACCACCTTTTTTACGTGGCTTCCACTTAGTTTCTTTTTTATTATAAACATAATGATAAGGAATATCTGTATAAAGATAATTTACTGCATTTTCATCATATTGATTTAATTTGAACCATGCAGTCAGCGTAGTATCTCGATTTAGCTCTCTTTGAGCAGCTTGTTCTTCATTTCCTGCTCGAAAATAAACCATTTGGCGATCAGGCAAATGAACTGCCAATCTTATTACTGTATGAGATTTCATGAACAGATCATATCCATTAAGTCTCCACATTGCTTCTGGAGCACTAACATATCTTGCATCCAGGAATGAGTTAACCTCATCTACTCTAATGAATTTTGTACCATCTCGTGCTTGCACTTCAATTGCAGCACAATCAAATCCTTTATGAATATATTTATATAGATATTTTACGCTCTTCACTGATGAACATATTTCTAAATTAATATGTCGATTATATTTCATGATTAAATATGGTGAATACGGCACCACCCATCGATTATCCACTTCTTTATTTCTAACGATGTATTTTATTCCAATATTCCTACGTTGATAGATGGGATATCCATTTACATTAGCATTAGTTTTATCACAAATTCTTTTGGAAAACCTTTTGAACATTTTCCATCGTCCCCAGTGCAAGGATATCTCCTCGAGGGATCTCCACATGGACCGTGAATCATGTGTTTCAAAACTTTTTCATTAAGTTCTGAATATTTTTCTTCATTAGGAATTTCAGCCCATACCATCATATCAATGACTTCTTGAAGTCGGGGCTTATCTTCATCGCTCAACATTGCAAGTAAATGCAAATGTGGAAGTCCTCTTTTTTGAAATTCAATCACACCTGCATAAGCTATAATATTTCCAAAAATTTTATTTTGAATTAAATCTTTTAAAATCTCTTTGACATCCAAATTAAATGTTTTAGCGACTAAATCAGGTCGAAACTCTATTTGACATCCATCAAGATTATCCTTAATTTCAGGACATTGAGGATTGCAAGTCATGGTTAAAAAAATGTCTGGTTTACCATACTTTCTTACCAAAGACATGGCATCTTGGTATCTTTCTTGCATGTTCCCTTAGACTGCCCATAAATTGAAGATGGTACCATATTACAGGTACACCAACTGTAATTCCCTTATTTTGTGCTCGATTATCAAGGTGATCCATTAATCCTGAATAAAGTTCTGCTCTTAATTGAGGTTGATTTAATTTAATATAATTAAGTCTAGCCATGAATCTTCAAGCAATAAGAAGCATTGCTCACAACATCCAATGGATTTCTATTGCCCGGGGCACCCATAGAAGCCATAGCTAAAGCGCTATTATATGAACGAATATTATGAAGGAAATTTTTCGATGCATAATCATTTCCCATGTATAATTTTTTAATAAAATCAGGACAATTTATTGACTTTAATGTAAGCTTACCCTTTTGACAACAATATGTAAATTTCCCATCTTTAGGTTTTTCACATTCAAAATTTAACGATTTGCAAAATTGGCATTCTATATTCATTTGGCCAAGTGTATGAACTGACACATTTATTTCATTGCCTTAGCAATTAGCGCAATATGATGATTTAATTGTCTAGCTTGTTGCCTTTTCTGAGCATGTCTTTGGGCATCAGCTTCGAGTCGTTGAGACCTTTCGTCATCATTTTCATTGACCCTCTGCTGATAATTTCTTTGAGCATTAGCTTCGAGTCGTTGAGACCTTTTGTCATCATTTTCATTGACCCTCTGCTGATAATTTCTTTGAGCATTAGCTTCAAGTCGTTGAGATCTTTCCTCCGAACTCTCAATTTTTCGTATTTGTCGTAAGCGCTTGCTTTCGTGACTAATTTTATATAAATTTCCGCCTTTTCTCTTTTGAGGCATACTTATCTGTGTCGTACCGTATACGGCGTATACGTAGGTATATTATAAATATTAATCGTAATAATTATATCTATATTATCTATCTATATATATAAGTACCGTCTGTCTGTCTGTATGATCAAGAATTATTTATTCATTAATTCATCGATTTTCTTGATGGAATTTTTCTTTTTCGTGCTTATTCTGTTTTATATTAATTCTTTGTATAAACACACAGCAGCCTTTTTTTACAGGCCCACAGCAGCCTTTTTTTACAGGCGCACCGCAGCCTTTTTTTACAGGCGCACAGCAGCCTTTTTTTACAGGCGCACAGCAGCCTTTTTTACAGGCGCACAGCAGCCTTTTTTTTACAGGCGCACA